ATGTTATATAGACCCTAGCCTAAACTATCTTGTGGATCTCCTACAACCCTAATTATCATCCCAAGATCCAAATTGAGTTGTAATCACAAGCCTAATTAATTTAATTACCCCAAGTAATCTTTCATTCAACATAAATCCTCAATTAAACTCCTACATTAAAAATTAGAATGTTTCAACTCTCTAATTTAGCATAATAGATTTTAAAATGAATTTATTAAACTTGGACTTCCAATTTCCAAAGGTTTTATACCTATTAAATCTCTAGTTTCAAACTTTTCTGCCATAATAGTTTCTTATGATGTTAGTTTAATCTCTTTCTACTATAGTAGATTTTATTATTCTTGTTTAATCCTATTCTACCATGGTAGAATCTTTTCTATCATTGCAGGGGCTAATGAAGGATTTTTACTTATATAAGTCAAATTCTCTTGTTCATAGTTGACTTTCAATCCTTTTCTAATATAGTTAGCTATTTTCAATTGTAGTTGAGCATTTCTAGCTACTATAGTAAGATAATAATGTGATTAGTTATTTTCTAATTATAATGATAGAGTTGGTAATTGATGTTAAGTACATAGTGAATTTATGTGATATTACATTGATGAGCAAATTAAAATGGAAAGGAATGGCCATGCAAGGATTTGAGCGCACAGCCTTTCAAAAATCCAAAAGTTTATACGAGACCACTTAAACTATTTATTAATTATATGCAATACATACATACATACAAACTTACATGTTAAGGGGTAATTTTGCTTCTTCTTCTTTTTGTGTGCAACATTCCTCCTCAAAAATTAAAAATGGTGAAATGTTGCTCACACTATTAATAAAAGTTAATTTCAATTATTAATTGACTAGAAAGTAAAGAAAATAATCTCAAAAATTATAAAAAAAACTAGAAAATTACAAATAAAAAACTTTTTAAGAAAATTAATACCGATTAAGTTTTCTAAATTATAAATAAATATCAAGAGATAAATGCTATTTCTTTGACACGTAAAAGACTGAATATCATTTTGACTAACCATTCTAACCAATTACTAGATGATCATCAGATCACCATAATTGACAAGAATGTTGGTAAGTAATTAAAAAATAATACATTTGTTTTGATAATTTCTTAGTAGAATATTAATACTTAATATTATTAATCTAGTTAATAAGAATTTGACCCATAATAATCAAGGTCGTAGGTTCAATCTCGCTAGAGGAGATTCAATAGGCTCTTCCAGGATACGAATACATTGGGGATCAACTTCTTGAATTCTGCTATGAAAATCATGATCAATTTCAGCATCCATCTCCTCCATGAAAAAACAAAAAGTTTTGCATTAAACTCCCTTTCAAGAAAAATGAAGATATCAACCCAACAAAAGCATCCCATCCTAGGATGAATCCACCTATTTTGAGATCAAATTTTAAAAATATCTTAGCTTGCTTTAGATGTACCAACTGAGTGTTAATCTTGGGCAAAGAAAATTTGTCATTTTGAAGAAAGGCATTAAGAGGTTTATAATCAATCACTAACCTCTTTTTCCTCTTTGCTTTCTTGAGTTTTGGATAAGTTTTGATCAAGGAAATTCAATAATTCCTCAACAATGTGTGAACTGGTCTAATACTATCCATTGTGAATTAACATACCCAAAAATTCTATCTGAGCTGCATCAATGTATCTTTTTTGGGCTAAAAGCATAATCCCATATTATTGGATAATTTTGTAAAATTGAGCTAAAAGATCAATTTGTAAGCCCCATAACCCAATTCACAAAAACTTTTGATTACCAAAATAGTAATTTAAATGTTGTTATTTATACATTGTCTTCCAAAATTTATAAATCTTATTTTAAAAATTAATAACTCAATTTGTGTTTTTGAGATTTATAAATGAATGTGTTTTTCATGCTAGCTGATTTAATTTGTAAATTAAAATAGTTTGATAAATTATAAATCTTTACCCAAAAGTTATATGTTATCCTTCAAAAATTTACAGTCAATGTTAAAAACACATTCACTTTTAAATCACACATAGTTGTAATTTTTGAAAGTTGTGTAAATTTCAAAAGTTGATTAAATTGTGTGTGAAGATTTGCAAATAATAATAACATTTATATTATTATATGTTAAAATATTAATATTTTAACAAAATATTATGAAAATAAATATAATAATTTTTAGTTATTTACTGGTATTATTGCAAGCAATGGTCAGTTTTGTAAAATTAGTTGTCAATTTATTATACTAAAATTGTCAATTTCTTGCACTAAAGTTATCAATTTCATTAAAGGACTAAGGATGTGACATTATTACAAATGAGGCCCAAATAAATATGAAATTTTTTATTGCAGGAATTTAGGCCTGAGCTAAAATTAAAATGCAAGACAAAATAAGTGAAATAACCTTCTTAACTATACATGTTAATTCCCTATAGTTACTTATTAAAATCTTTACTTTACATGTTAATTTCCTGACATTACTTAGTAACTTATTAACTCAATTATTGTACTTATTAAACGTGTCTAGTTACTTGTTAAAATATTTATTTTACATGTTAATTCCTTGGCATTATTTGATAAATTGTCAACTCAATTAATGTACTTGTTTAAAGCATAATGTTACATCTTAATTTTCTATAGTTACTTGTTAAAATATTTACTTTACATGTTAATTTTCTGACATTACTTGATAACTTGTTACCTTAATTACCATATTTGTTAAATGCTTAACGTTACTTATTAATTCCCCATAATTACTTGTTAAAATATTTACCTTACATGTTAATGTCATTTCAGTCATTTCGCCTTACATCTTAATTTCAATTTAGGTTTAAATTCCTATAGTGAAATTTTAAATTTATGTAGGCCTCATTTTTAATAATGTCACATTTATGGTCCTTCAAGGAAATTCTTCATTTTTTTAATAAGGACATCTAGGTAAATGTATTTTTCCGTTTCATGGGATTTTTTTAGAAATTTTATGTATTCAAATAATGGATTTCATCCAAATCCAGATTCCCACCTTATTTATGTATGTTTATTTTTCTTTTTAAAATTTGTGAGACCTCTAGATATCACCTCATAAGTCCTTAAACCCCATTGATCCCAACCTTCTTACGGGGGAAAAAAACAAAAGCAGAAAAAGGAGAACGCGGAGAACCTCCTTGTAGTTGACATTTTAATACATAAAATTGAAAACTTAAAATGAAGGGGGATATTTGTTTTTAAGTTTTAAAAACTGTTTTATGTTTTAAAAATAAAAAAATTGTTTGGTTAAGTATTTTGAATTTGAATGTTTTTAAAATTTTTCTCACTTATTTTTTTTTAAATGGAAATAACTTAAAACTATTTTCTTTTTCTTTTTAAAATTTTTAAAATACATTACATTTAGCTATTGTAAATTATCTTTAATTATGACAAATTACTACCATATAAGCTACCATTATTAACTATTATCAACCATTATTATCAGTCTTTTTTAACTATAAAATTATTTCAAAATTAATATAATCAAATAGATTTTCATTTTGTTTTGTGTTGAAAAACAATATTTAAAAATTGATTTACAAAACAATTTTTTCTAAAAAAAATGAACAAAACCAAAAACGTCCTTTATTTCCCAACACCTGACAAGGAAAATAAAAAGGTTAAGGTGAAAAGAACTTTTGGTTGAGAAAAACATGTCAAAGGTAAAAGACTCTTCAAAGGTATAGCAAGGCTTAAAGATCAAATGCTCTGAATCATAATAACAAAACCAATAATATATATTTTTTTTCTTTCTTTCTTTCCTTTTCATGAACACTAATATATTTTTCTTTTTCTGTTCAGTCCGAAGCACAATATTGAGTAAGTTCTTCGTAACTTTGGTATCTCATCAGAAGCATTGGAAGCAATAAACAAATGAGTTTTAGTTTAGTATTAAATTATTAATAACAATAATGTTTTCTAATACCAAGCGGTCTCCTCCACATTTTTTCAAACTTTGAGATCACAAGTCCTCTTGTAGTAATCTGAAATTTGACAATATAAAAAATTGTTAGACCTATTCTTAAATCATAATCTTTCCTCGTCTGACAAAGTCAGTGGAATAGAAGCTCTGGGGAATGGAATAGAAACGGGATTTTCGGATTTTGAGCAAACTGCGAATCAATACTCAATACTATAGTAATCTTAAGTGGGTCTATCTGGAATTTTTCGGTTCAGTTATTTATATATAAAAAATTTGAGCTGTGTTTTGGAATCTGGTTCAATCAGGTCCACGTTTCCAAATGTTAATTAGTTCAAAGTTTCAAACACCACACCCCATTTAAATAATCCTTACTTTGAAATTTGTTCTGTCTTGGCTCGTAGCAGATAGGACCAAAACTTTCATGAGATTAATATGTTTAATGGGTAATTAAATATGGGCTCACAATCCCCATAAGTTGATAATTTCACTGGCTTATTGAGATTCCACCTTTTTGATCATAAACAAATAAAGAAATCCTAGTTCATTAGGGTGCTATTTAAGAATAAAATGTGTTGATGTTTGACATCTGTTAAAAATTTGCATCAGTGTTTATATACTAGAAAATAGCATGCAGATAATTAGAAAACTGAGTTTTGTTATTATTATTATATGTATATTAGACATGAAATGAACCCTTAAAATTCCATATAAATGTCCTAATTAAACCCTTTACAGCAACAGGGTATTTCATGTTTGTGTTCTTGTTAATTAGTGTTAGCTTGCATGTTAATGTCTTAAATAAGAAATAGTAATGGTGTTGTGTTACTTTTTTCTTGGTAGTTGCTCTCTCTTTCTCCCTCTCTTTCTCATTTTTAAAGAGTTTTTCCATCAGTTTCTTTAAGTGTAATAAGAGCCAAAGCTACGAGATCCTCGCAAACCACAGACACTCTTTTAAAGTCACCAGAAAAGGCGGCTGATCCTTCGGAGGCAGACACCTTCCCAGGAAGCATATAATGCCTTCAAACTTCACTCTCAACTTGCTCACTTAGCTTCTTTAGTTTACTTCTTCTTCGTACTAGGGTTTTTCTTCAAAGCCTACGCCATTTCTCGGAAAGTAGTGTAGCTTCGAAGTTGCACCTTGTTTCTGAGTTTTTTGTTCTTACTTGTAATATATATCTCCGGGAAACACAAGGGTACTCCCTCTTTCCAGTATTTAGAACTACAGAAGAATATAGTTTGAGATATAGATATATCATGGAAGAGAGAAGTGATTCTTCTGAGAAGATTGATGAAGTTATGCTTCCAGGGTTCAGGTTTCACCCAACTGATGAGGAGCTTGTTGGGTTCTACCTCAAGAGAAAGATTCAGCAGAGACCTCTCTCTATAGAACTCATAAAGCAGCTTGATATCTATAAATATGATCCATGGGATCTTCCAAGTAAGTCCCTACCACCCCCCCTCTCTCTCAACATTATATTCCTTATCTGCTCAGCAAATCTAATATGTGTTATTTATATATTCTGTAGAGTTGGCAAGTACGGGTGAGAAAGAGTGGTATTTTTACTGTCCTAGAGACAGAAAATACAGAAACAGTGCAAGGCCTAATAGGGTGACAGGAGCTGGATTCTGGAAAGCCACAGGTACTGATAGGCCCATATATTCCTCTGAGGGCTCCAAGTGCATTGGGTTGAAGAAATCTCTTGTCTTTTACAAAGGAAGAGCTGCCAAAGGAGTCAAAACTGACTGGATGATGCATGAGTTCAGATTACCCTCTCTCTCTGCTGACTCATCCTCTTCACCAAAAAAGTTCACAGAAAGAACCATCCCTGCTAATGTAAGTACAAGCAACTTCCTAAATCTATATTTCACTATACTCAGCACTCACCATTACATCAAGTTGTTTTACTCAAGATGTTCAAAAATCTTTACATGTTTACTTTGAGCTCAAGAACTTTCAAGCTGATATATCGGAGCATGCAAGATTGTTAAGATATATGAAGGGATATAAGATGATAGTGAACTAAATGATTCTTTGTGTGGTTGAAAATATCATTATATACACTGACTTTGACATTATTCTTTTGAAATTGCAGGACTCATGGGCAATCTGCAGAATATTCAAGAAAACAAACTCTACAGCCCAGAGAGCTCTCTCTCATTCATGGGTCTCTCCTTTCCCTCATCATGAAATGAACACTTCTGAGATGCTAACCAACGACGAAGACACTTCCAAGTTTTGTTCAGATCAAAACATGTCATTGACAAAGAAAACTAGCTTACCCAACCAGTTCTGTACCACTCCTACAAATACCACCACAACCAGTAGTGTTCTTTGCCCTTTAGATAATATTGCCTCTTACAAACCCATCATTAACCCATTATTGCTTTACAAGCCCTTTGACCAATCACCCATCATTTCTAATAATTCAGACCTTATGTTTTCATCACCATCACCTCTCGAGCCATGCAGTACTGCTAAAGCAGCCACTGCCATGGACATTTCCTCAATGTTACTGAGCATGTCATCATCATCTTTTTTGCTTGGGGATCACTTTAGTACCAAGGCTTCATCATCATCTGAGGGTGCAAACAATTTTGGAGGGTTTCACCAAGAACAGTACAGCAGTAATAATACTGGGTGTTCATCATCATCATCATCAATAGCTTTACCTGTATTAATCCAAGATGGGAATAATGCATTGGTGAAGATGAATCACCCAGTGAATGTGGTAATGCCTAGAGTGCTGATGGAGGAGCAAGACCAGATGGAGACAGGAGGAGGATCCAATAATAATAATAATAATATGAATGGGTTTGCTGCTTTAAGCAGTGTCGGTAATTTGAATATGCATGAAGCATGGAAGTCAAATCTGCTTTGGGATAGTTCATCTTGTCCTTGTGATCACGTGCCCCCATCAAGTTATTCCACTACTACCAAGTGCTATACTTAGGAGACTCATCGAATTTATTATTATATACATATATTAATTGTTAGAAGCCATTGTTTTTCTAGCTAGCTTATAGACAGTAGTGTAGTCGGTCTGACTTTTTCTTTTTATCTGGTTTTCCCCATATCCCCTTAGATTTCTGTACGTTCAATTTAAATTAGCATGTTAGCTTTTTTCTTTTATTGTTATTAGAGCTAGGATGACTTTGAACCTTTTGTAACTCTGACAAAATGCAAGTGTTTGTGGAATAGAAAGTTGTCAACAATCTTAAAAAGTTCAAACACAAGAATGATGAAAATATATATGTAAGCAAATTGTATTTGAGCAGGATTGTGTACACACGTTGGCATACACGTACATATATGATATACCACAGGCACACATTTATAGCAATAGTGGGGGGTGTGTGTGTATTAGCGACTGGTTTTGACAAGAAATAATAGGGACGTCCATTAATGGTGCTTCCACGCTACTTCTAACATATTTAGGCTGTCGGTTTAGGATAAATAATTTTAAAAATAATTTTAAATTAATATTATCAAGTATTATTTGATATTTATGAAAATCTCCATGTTATACCTGATGGCTGATGCCGATAAAAAATTGAAGATGAAACATGCAAAAAATATTTTGATTCTTTCAAATAAATAAAAACAGAAATTATAAATGATTTATAATTTTTCTTGTCTCTTGTTAAATATTTCTTTATTTATATATTAGTTTATAGTTTCGAAGGAATTTATATTATAATTTTATATAATACTTAAGAAATATTAAGTTAATTATAACAGGTTTGGTTCAATTACAATCTAATTATGAACCCTTAAATCAATAGATAAGCCTATAATTGTGCCTATATGGAAAGGGGGGGGGGGATCTGAAATTGGATGAGGATGATCGTAGGTTCATTCAAAAGGGCAAAAAAAAACGAACAAACAAACAAAAACAAAACGAAACAAAACAAATGGAAACTGAGAAGGCGATGGACTCGCGTTTGATGGACTCTAGATCACACTCAAACACACTGGAAAAAATTATTGTATATATCATTAGTATTTAATTAAAAAAGAGCACTAATACTAGCAATGCATATATGAAAAGTAAATCTACATAATCTAAATAATTGGCACTAATTTTTATTTTTCTTTAAAAAAAGAATAAAAATAAATCATGAGATTTCAGCGGCATTTTACACTTTTCACATTTCTTCAACAAATAAATTACAAAAGTGTTATGGCCTTTAGGTGGCAATCCTGGTCATGTCATATATATATATATATATATATATATAACATGGATTGGCACATGAGTTAGGATTTAAAATGGACTGAGTTAGACTAGTCCATTTTAATATGGGTTGATATTTTTCAAACCCAACCCAATGAGCGTGGCTTAATAGTTATTTAAGTTAACCCACCAACTCATCTTTTTTTTTTTTTCAAAAACATTAAAATCTTAAATTCAATCTATTATTACACACACACTATGTCACATAATACCGCAGTTTAACTCTAAGAAAGTCATATCCTCTTAATCATAGACATTGAGTTCAAGCTCTAGAATGCCAGTGTTACCTAGAAACCATCGAAAGCAAACCAATTTTTTTTTTATTAAAGTATTGAAAACTAGACCGATCATTAAATTAATCATGATACTGATTTAAGAATTAATGGATCAAAACCGTACCATAATTGAACCATATTCAAACTGATCATAAATAAAATATTTTCTTTTATTATTTGTTTATTTAATTAAAAAGGAACATACAAATCAAAAGAAATTACAATAAATAAAAACTAATTAAATGGTCGCTTTTATCATTAACTACTTTTTGAATTAGAAGTGATGAATGACGAAAGAAACAAAAAGTTGACTTCTAGCTTATGATATATTCTAGCATAGAAGTATAATGAAAGCATTTTCTTAAACTGATTAAAATATTAATTTAACAACTAATTGGTTTAACCGGACAAGTTGAATTGAATTTTAATAATGTGCACTAAAGAAAAGGAGTTGGAAGGAGAGGAGAGACTTTCTCTCTACGTGTTTAATGCGGTACGTGGCTCCTGCTTCATGTTTGTTCTTCCTCCGTTCTTCAGTTTTCTGGTTTCCTTTTCGGTTTAGCTTTGATTTCGGTTGTCTATCTTTCATCAGACATTAGATTCTGTTGTTGGTTGAATGTATTCCTTATGTCTCATAAAAAACTGAAATAAAACCCATCTCAAAAGTAAAGAATCAAAGATATACTCTCATTAAAAAAAAAAAAAAAACAGTTACGATGGATTTTTATTCTTAAACTTTTTTCGAAGAGCAATTTTATCCTTGTACTCATTAGTATGGTACTAAAAAAAATCCTTCTATAAGGTCGCTAATGCTTATAGGAAAAATAGTTCAGAAATAAAATTATATCACTTATTAGTATCAGAGTAAAATTGCTCCTAAAAAAAATTTAGAAATAAAAATACACCTTAACCAAAAAAATATTAATTAAGGGTCATTTTTTTTCTTGAACTATATGTGAAAAGTTACAAATGTCCTTAAATTCAACTATGAGTCAATTATGTCCTTTAACTTCAAAAATTTTTTCTATTATCATCCTGCCATTTTCTCACCATTAATTAACTACTAATGGGCCTCACATATTTTTTAATATTTTGTGTTATGAAATATTTAAGTTGAGGGGCAAAAATGACCCTTAACCTAGGGTCCATTTGGATTTCAGTTGGATATAATTAATTATGAAAATAATTGATTAAATAGTTAATTTTAATTATAATTGATTATGTTATAACGTAATCTATTTAAAATATTATTTTTTTAAAATTAATTTTAATAGAATTAAAGATGTTTGAATAATTTATTCAGAATCAATTTTAGCTGTGTAAATTACCATAAAAGATATTTCTTTTCAAAATTAAATTATTGATAAATTTATATCTAATATTATTAAATCTATTAAATTTTATTTAAGAAGTAAAATAAATTATTTCAATTACATATATGATTTTTATAATTTAAATTATATTAATATTAATAATTTAATTTATGTAAATAAAATAACTCAATATATCTTAGGTCAAATAAATTTAATAAAAGAGAAAGATTTAATTCTTAAATAACAAACATCAATTTACAATAGCTAATAAAGATGATAATACACAAATTGATCTCTAATGATATCATGGATATGAGCTATATCTAGCGAAATTGTTAAGTGGTCTTGAAATTTTGGCAATATAAAAAATGCAACAATATAACAAATGATACAAAATCTTTCTCCTTCTTTGCAACAATCTTTGTAATGATTCTAAATTTTAAATTAAATTAAATTTTCTCTACTAATAAATATTTTATTTGAATTAGTTTTATAGTTAGTGCTAAGTAGAGGGTGGTAGTTAACAGGAACTTATGCTAGCAACTTTTTTGAGGATCCAAAGTTTGAATTTTACTATAAAAAAAAAGAAGAGAGTTTGGTTTTATTTTTATTAAATTTTGTATCTTTCTTATAATTTTTTCTTGGGTTTTTCTTTATAATTTTTTTCAATGCTTTTTTATCACCTTTTTCTCTCAAGCTCACAAATACAGGAAAAAAAATCAATTATTCCCTGACAATCTATTAACTGAAAAAGATGATGTTTGGATACTTTTTTGATTAATTGATTTTTAATTAAAAAATTGATTATTTCTTAACCAACAAGCACTTAATAAAAAATATTAAAAAATAGTAAGACTCACTAATAACTAACGGTTTAATATTAAGGTGATGATGAAGAAAATCTTTAAAATTGAGAGGTAAAATGACCTATAATTAATTTAAAAATATATGTGATTTTTTGTGTATAATTCAAAAGAAGAAAAAGATACGCAAGAAGAACCATGCCAACTTTATGGAGAGATCACGCATCTGCTTGAATGCAGTGTCTCATACCTATTAATATTAACCAATTAATTATTTATTGATAGAATTTATAGGCATATAAAGATAATTGCCTACAACCCACACAATTTCAATATTAACGTTAAATTTACTTAATTATATAATTTTAATAAATTATTAGAAAAATGTTAGAATGACTTAATTATAAAAATATGAATTAGTTTAGCCTCATGCATTGCATGAAAATCAAGAAAAGATTTGTGCTTCTAACATTTTTTTACTTGTAAATAGTACAACTTACTAGAAATTTTACATTTTATATTTTAATATTTGAATTAATATTGATATATTCATGATTGATACTGAAATATAATTCTTTCTTTCTTTCTTTTTGTTGGGCCAAGTGCTTGCCCTTCGCGCAACAAGCAAATTAAGGCCCATAATTTATTGGGCTTCACATAACTTAGTAACAGGTCCAATTTCACTTGATTATTAGTTTTTAATTGAAAAATTTGACTAAATGAAGTTAGGTCTAATAGAAGGATATTGTCTCTCACAAAATGGTAAATTAATATTTGAATTCTCATTGAAAAAGGTGTTTTTAAAATTAGTACCCAACAATGCCTTGAATAGAATTGCCTTCAATAAAAGGATACCTATGGGTAATAAAAAAAAATTAAAGATTTGATACATAAATGAAAGTATTTCTTCATTTCCAGTGTGGTTGCAGTTGGCAACTTGACGTACTTGTTATTTACAATAAAAAGTTGAACCAAGCTGGGGAAGAACTTCTATGAAATCCCCTCACATAGCTACAAAGTGATCAACCATAGAGAAAACAGCAACATAAATGGAAGAGAAAGCTAACCAAGACTACCAAGTGGTTCTCTAGGAACACAAGGGTGGTGAAGCACATTGATCAAATAAAAGTAAGTTATTACTGAAGAATAATCCAGTCCACAAAAAGTTTTTTTAGTACTTATCTTGCAGAGTGATAAGGCAATAGTGAGTCACTTGTTATCTTGAAATACATTGATGACACTTCGAGTCTAGTGTGTTTGGTTGTAGGAGGAATTGAAGGGATGAGAGATTTTAATAAATTCGATTGAAAAATTGGTGAAGGTTAAAATAAGCTTTAAATTAATTTTGTTTACTCTTTATCTTACATCTATTTTATTTAGTAAAATTTTATAAGCCCACTTAGCTATTTTTTTTTAAATCAAACTCATTAAAATCTCTCATATCCTCTCCTCCCCCCAATCAAACAAGAGATTGTCCCGAACACCTATCTCACTTTCCTTATAAACAGGCTAATTAAGATTTGCTTCTAGATCATTTTTTTTTTGATAAATAGTGAGTATAACTTCCTTACCCTACGTTACAATCTATTTCTAATATGAAGAAATTTTGATGAAAGCT